GGGCCCTTCTCCAGGACCCCCTTCCTGGCGGGCGGCCCCGGCGCGGCCGGCGGCCGCAGAGCCGCCTCGTCTACCAGGGGCAGCAGGGCCGCGTCTCTGCTCTTGCTGCTGCCGCTCCTGGCCAGCGGCGCCTTCCTGCCGAAGCAGAGGTCGCCCATGGCCGTGACGAGCTCGTCGTCCGTGCGGCCGCGCGCCGCCTCCTCGTGGCTCGGCGCTGCCGCCAGCACCGAGGGCGCCACGAGCCCCCACGGCTCCGACTGCAGCCGCTTCAGCTGCGGCAGACGGGCCCTCTTGGCGCTGCCGGCTCTCCGGCCGGGAGAGGGCGGCTCCGGGGGCGCCTTGCCCGGGGGGCTGTCCCGGGGGGAACTGAAGCCGCTGCCCTCCTCTTGCGTGGGCGCCGACACGGGGCTTTTCAGGCTGATGTCCGAAGGGGTCGCGCAGCCCTCGGCCGGCCCCTTYTCCTTGAACTCCAGCGACGGGGGCACGTTCAGGTACTGCTTGGCGCTCTTGGTGCCGGAGGCCGACTTGTCCATGGTGATGATGATCACCTCCTTGCCCTTGGCCTTGCAGGCATCCAGGAGGTGCTGCAGCACGTCTTTGTCATCAGCGTTGATGGCGTGGACCAGCGCGGACGCCCCGGAGTGGTCCTCGAGGCTGGGGTCGGCCCCGTTGTCCAGCAGCAGGGACACCACGTCAGCGCCCGCGCCCTGCATGCAGGCGTGCATGAGCGCCGTCCTCCCGGCCTTGTCCTGGATGTTGGGGTCGGCCCGGTTGTCCAGCAGGTACTTCACCATCTTGGCTTTGCTGATGCTCTGCTGGTCCACRTGCTTGGTGACGCAGGCCACCATGAGGGCGGTCTCTCCTTTCTCATTGCTCTCATTGATGTAAGCCCCCCCTTCCAGCAGGAGCCTGGTGAGCCGGAGCCGGCCGAGCCACACGGCCTTGAGGAGGGAGTTCCCACCCGTCTGCAGCTCCGTCGCCTCCTCCATGGCCCCGGCTGCYGCTCACTGCCCGGGGAAGGTGGCGTCAGCCGGCGGCTGCAAGGAACGGGGAGGACGGTGAGCGCCCGCTCCGGCCCGGCTTCTCCGCGCGCAGCACTGCATCCCGCAGGCTCCGACCCYGGCCACCCCATGCCTCGACATGGCCGGCGGAAATTGCTTCTGCGGCTTCCCCTGCACATCCGCATCACCCCGCGCGCGGGGGCTCACGCGGCCCGGGGGCTCCTTGGCGTGCAGGCCGAGAAGCAGCTCCCGGGAAAGGATGAGCTGTGCTCCCGTCTGTTCTCCTTTATGGTCTGTGGGAYCAGACGTGCTGATCTTTGTCGGCTGGGAGGTACCCCTGCCCTGCCTTCTTGCTGCTCTACCAGGCGCTGGTAGGTGGTTGATATTGGTCAGTTGGGCCCATTATAATATTGGTCCCTATCATTTTACTCAAGGATGTAGTGTATTTTCCTGGGAAGCACCTGCCSTGCCTTCTCACTGCTCTACCAAGCAATGGTAGATGATTGATATTGGTCAAGTGGGCCAATTACGATGTTGGTCCCTTTCTTTTTACTCAAAGATATACCATGTTTTCCCAGGAAGCACCATCAGCCATGAGGCAGTTTCTGGCCTTGCTGTTTTGGGTGTGCCCGAAGATGTGGCCACCAGGGCCCTGAGTGCAGCAGGTGGCCCCAATTGCCCTGGTCAGCTTCAGCTGAGACCTATCCCGCCCACACACCCCGCCCTTGGCCCGGCAGCTCAGTTAAAATGGGGTGCAGAGCCCCAGCCCTGGCTTGGGTGGTGTTATTGTCCAGCTTGTGCCTAGTCCTCTCAGAGCAGCGGTGTGGGCTGGGCTTTCCTGGTTAACCTTGTGCCAGGTTGTCCCTTTGCCTGATGCTGGCTGCTGCTGGGAGCTGTTGCTGTCGCCAGCCCTGCTCCGCTCAGGTGCCGTGGGACTTGTCCTGCTAATGCACCGTGGCTCCTGGCTCGTGTCTTCATGTGGAGCTGCTCTGCTCCTGTTGCTCCTGGATGGTGCAATAGCTTCATCTCGCCTTGCTCCCTTCCAGCTCTGCTTTGCTAATGAACRTGCTAACCTGCCTGACTGCAGCTTGCATCTCCACGCCAGACAGATCAGAATGGCCCAGTGCTGATGTGGCTCCTGCTCTGCCTCGTGGCTCCCTCATGCAGAGCCCACTGGAGATGCTGTGAGCACCTTTCTTGGCTCCCTGGACTGCGCGTGGCTCTGCAGGGTGACACACAAACTGAGGGCCCCGTGGCCCTCCTGCCCGTGCCCTTGAGGAACGTCACCCTGCAGCTCTTGGACCGMGCAGGCTTTTGCACGTGATGGGCAGCAGCTCCGAGCTGCGCTGGAGGGAACGGAAGGTGCCCAGCACCGTGGGAATGTCGTGGAGGTGCAGGAACAGCCCTTGGCCGGCGAGTGTCCRTGTGCCCTGCCACCCGCTCGCTCCACGCTCCCACTGCCCTTCCTGCCCGCCCAGAGCAGCGTTTTCCCTGCCCATCCATGYTCACTCTCCCCAGAGGGTCTCTGCCTGCAGAGGGACCCTCCTGAGCCYACCTCATTCTGGAGCTCTGCAGCCYGCACCCAGCGRCCTTTGGAAAAGCTTCTTTGAGGCGGCYGCTCTGTCTTTTACCACAAGCCTGTACCCTCGGTGCCCGGAGCCAGGTGTGGATTCTGCAGCTCTCCAACTTGCTGTAAGTGCTTTGCCCCAGGGCACCACGTTGCCCTCCCTCCTCATGGGCTATGTCACTTCCCTCTCCCCCAGCATGGGACTGGGATGCCCCCACAGTTATTTTGAAGTTGCTCTCCTGGTGGCTCTCACCTCCATTTCCCCTTGCTCCTTCTCCATTGCCGGGTCGTGGTGTCCAGGTGCAGATGTCGTCTGCTCCTGCAGCTCCTTGTCCCTTCCTGCTGTCCCTCTGCGAGTCACCAAGGCTGCAGGATCAGGGGCTTGCTCAGCCTTGGGCTGCAGAGGTAGGAGGCCAGAGACTGGGGACACTTGATGCAGGTGGCTCTCCCCCCTCGCGAGTGCCTAATTGTGCCCCCCCACACCCACTCGTGTCCCCCCAGCCGGGGACCTGACAGGGGCTACCCTGTTCGAGCTGCTGATGKGGTGGCACCGGCCCGTTCCCATCTCTGCTGCCGGCCCCTCTACCCGCCCCCGTGACTGTGCGCGGGGCCGGCTCCCGGTGCCGGTTCCCGGTGCCTGCACCGCGCCTGCTCGCGGTACTGTGCCCGGCTCCCGCTGCTGTCCGCGGCTCTCGGTGCCGGTGCCCTGCGCSGCGCCTGCTCCGGTGCCTGTCCGCCTCCCGCTGCTGTGCTCATGCTCAGCTCCCGGTGCCGGTAGCCGGTGCAGAGCGCCCCGATTCCGATGCCCTGCGCTGGCTGCAGCGCACCGCGCCTGCTCCCGGAGCCGGTACCCGGTGCGCCCGGGTGCCCGTGCTCGCGCCCAGCTCCCGGTGCCGGTACCTGGTGCCGCGCGCGGCGCTCAGCTCCCGGGTAGATGCTCGGTGCGCGGCTCCCGGCGCCCCCGCTCAGGTACCGGGGCGAGGATCCCGCTTCCCGGTGTCCGCTTCCCGGGAGCGGTGCGCGGAGCCCGGCGCCCCCGCCCGCGCCGCCCCCCCGGCTCCGGGCGGCTGCGTCACCCGCCGCCGCTTCTCCCGGTGCTCCCGGCGCTGCCCGGCCCGGGGCTGCGGGGAGGAGGGCGCGGGGGGGCGGCGCGTCCGCCCCCGGACGGCTGCGGCTGCGGGGGGTGCGGGGGTGCAAGTGCCGGCGTGCGGGGCTGTCGGTTTGTGCGTGTGAGGGTGTGCGGGGGTGTCGGTTGTGGGGGTGTGCGCCCGCGCCCACGCGTGTGGGGGAGTGCACCCATGTGTGCAGGGCTTGCGTGCGCCTGTGTCAGTGTCCGGGTGTGCGTGGGGCTGTGAATACGGGGGTGGTTTGTGCGGGTGCAGTGGTGTGTGCACGTGTGTTGCTTGTGCCTGTGCGGGCTGTCTGTGTGCATGTGCGTGCAGGGGTTGTGGGCACACGTGTGTGTGTGCTGCTGCATGTCACTGTGGGGCAGAGGGTCTGTGCTGCACTTGCATGTGTGTTCACATGCCAGGGAGTGCTGTGTGCCCATGTGCACGTGTGTGGACCGAGTTTCTGTGCACTCGTGTCTGCCTGGTGTTCACATGTGCATGTGTGTGCAGGATGCCCATGTTYTGCATGTGCTCGGGGCAGCTGTGGGGTAGCTGTGTGCTGGAGGTGCCAGCTCACCTGCAGGCAGGTGGGTGCCTGTGTGCAGCCAGCAGGCACAGCTCTGCCAAACCCCACACGTAGGCACCAGGCACAGGTCTGTGGGCAGGAGCAGCGTCCAGCAACAGGCTCCTGCTGCCTGGAAGAGGGAACCTGTGCGCTTTGGGGAACCTTTGCTAGGTCAGTCCCTGCCCAGGACCTCCCAGGGCTGCCGTGCATCCCTTGAGGATCGCTGACTATGGCAGGGAGCTCCCTTGATGTACGCAGGAAGATGCGGAGAGCCGGGACCTGCTGCTGCCACCGCAGGGTCCTCCGGGACCCCGCACCCAGGCGGAGCGTCGCTCTCCCACGGGCTCCAGCCCTCTTGGATCCCCGGCTGCCGAGGGCATGGGCTTGCGGAGCCCTGCRGCACAGGCGGGTAAAGGCCACAGGGCAGGGGGTGCCCCAAAACCTCAGCGCCCAGCTCCGCCGTCCAGCCTGGCCCCCACAGCCGTGTCCGTGGCATCCAGTGCCCTGACTTACAATACATCAATAAGAGGGGAAATTTCTCCTGAGATCGCTCAAATATAATCTCAGATTGCAACCTCCTTTGGTAAAAGCTGATGAGAATCAGGTCTGGCCAAAAGTGCAGTAGGTCTCATGTCAGTGAGCACTTAGGGAGACCTCACGGCAGCTTGTTGGTTAACTCGGCTAAAGCAAAGACGCAGCAGCACCTGAACAGGCCATGTCGGCCCTGCAAACGTGCGTGTTCGCCCATTTATTTTCCTTGCCATGTTTGTGTAAAAGCTTTGTATATAAAACAAACAGAAGGACAGAAGGTGCCTTGGCAGGAGGGGACCAGGCCCCTCCCAGGCACAGGGGTCACGATCCCCCTGGTCACTATTTTGGGGTTGGAGGAGGCGTCGTCCCCCATCAGGAGCAGGGCTGGCCCAGCTTGAGGACAGAAACACGTGTGTCCTCTGGGGGATCTGGCACTGCAGGAAGCATGAGGGACAATTGCAGGGGGACAAAGCAAGAGTAAAGGGATAAATGTCCCAGCGGGGTGAGCAGGACCCTGTCCCATTCCTGTCAGCYGCATGTGGGGCGCTCTGCTCCTTTGCAGCTGCGGAGCTGGTGCTCTGGCTGCGCAGCCTCGTTCCTGGCTGCTCGCTAACGCACTTCTGTAACGTGGGATTATATAAGCGCTTGGCATTTTGCAGTTTAAGAAATACCCAGGAAGCCTCTCTGCACTCTCGTGCCTTTGACCTAGCTGCAAGGCTGAAGGCAGCAAGGAAAAACCCTGCCACTTGGCCAGAGCTCCGAAATAACCCGGCACAGGTGAAAGCAGCCCCTGGGCCCTGCGTGACGTGGCTGCCCATCGCTGCAGGACCCATCCCATGCGTGGGGGTCCCGTGGTGCCCGGGCTTGTCCATGGCCGTTAGGTGCATGGAGAGGGGCCGGAGGCTCCTTGTGGGTCCCGCTCYGGCCTGGAGCTTCCCTGCACTTGCCTCTTGCTTCCTGTTCTCTTGAATAATTCATAGCGGTGATTAACTGTGCTGCGTCCTGCCCCCTTCCTGCTCACACATTATCCAAGCACCTTTTTTTTTTATTATTTTTTTTTCCCCCCCAGAACTATTAGTTATTCCTAGCGGTTTGCTGAGTAATGTCTGCGCTGCTCCTCAGGCTGCACTTTGCTCCTTAGGGAATAATGGGGGTGCTGGGGGGTGGCCGGCGAGCCCTCCCGTGCAGCCCTGGCCCCGTCTGCTCCTCGGCCTGCCAGCCTGGGCTCGGCCTGGGGCATCCAGTGCCGCTCTGCAGCCTTGGGCGGGAGCACRGCGGGAGATGTGCCCGGAACGGGACGTTTGGGCTACAGGGGAGCTTGGTTGCAGCTCCCTGCCAGGAGTGGGACCTGCGGAGGTGCCTGCACTCCGATCCCTTTCCCTTTTGTTGGATSCCGTGGCAGTGGGGAAGGCGGCTGCCACGGGGGAAGCAGCTCCGGCTCCCGACATCGCCCTGTGGCTGCAGCCGAGCTGGGAAGCACCAGGCGGGACGTGGCAGGGATGGGGCACCTYCTGCCAGGACATGGCAGYAGCTTGAGGGACCAGGGTGCTTGCRCCTGGGCAGTGCTCTCCACTCGCAGGGCATCCTACAGAATTCCGGGATGAGGTGCGGGAGGAATGGTGAAATACCAGGGAAAGGGAGGCAGGGAAAGGAGGCCGTGTGGTCCTGCAGCTCGTGGCCCTGGGGCCAGGCAGGACGTGGCCCAGATCCGCTCCGTGAGCCGGGGCTGCCCCTTCCCGCGGGCAGGGAGGCTGGCGCGGGGCTCTGCAGCGCGGCCCTTCTCACGAGCTCAGGGCCTCTCTCTTGCCGGYGCCTCGGACTGCGGTAGCGCAGAGCTCCTGAGCCCCTTGGTCCCGCTCCCTGCGCACCCGGACCGTGAGGAGCCGTCGGGAGYGAGTCCGGGGCTGCTGGCACTGACGTGATCGCCGCGCGCAAGGGTCCGGAGCCGCAGGGTGCCCGGAGCACCGCTCTGCTCCGGTGGGTCAGGGCTGCGCTGCTTTGCCCTGGCAAAGCGAGCAGGACCGGGGGCAGCCTTGGCTTCATGCGCAGGAATTGGTGCATGGAGCCAGGCCGGGCACCAGCTTCCCCGGGGCTGCTGCGGGYGCYGCCGAGATGGGCCCGTCCCCGGGGAGCGCGGCTGCGGCGCGGGCTCTATTTCGGGTGCTCTCGCYGCGCAGCTGCTCATCTTGTGCGCACGGAGACGGCTCTGTGCAGCTATTTCTGCCGGCTCATCCCCGCACGGCATCTTTTTATAAACACGCTGGTGCCACGTGCCCCAGCGCCATGCGCTGCGCGGCCATGGATCCCTGCGGATGCGGAGCTGCTGGCCGCGGGGGCACCGGCGAGGCCGGGTCCTGCTCCTGGTGGTGCCGGGGGCTGCGGTGGCCCTGTCCRGCCCGGCTCGCCCCTGGTCCCCGCTGCGGCGGCTCCCGGCGGGGTGGGCGCCGCGGCTGATGCCGCTTCCGAAAGCGGCTGCATCACCGTGCGCGGCGCTGACGTTCCCATGGCAACCAGCGGGTAAAAATAGTTGCGGAGCGTTTGGAGCTGCCAGGCCCTGGCGGGGAGGCGGGGAGGGCCGGGGGCCGCGCGCTCGGGACGCGACCCTGCCCTGCTCCCGGTGCCCCTGCGCCCCGGCGGCTCCTCCACGCGGCTCCCGGGTGCCGCTGGGGAGCCCCTCGGCACGGCTCGCGGGGCCCTTGGCAGCGCGGCTTGAGGCAGGAYTTGTGGCCAGGTTTGCAGCGGGGCTCATGGCACAGCTCGGGCAGGGCTCCCCGCTTCTTGCTCAGCCCAAGTGCAGCTTGTTGTGCTTGCAGCACCCTGCACTGCTGCTGAGCAGGCACCCCCAGCCTAGAAATAATTTTAGGAGAACTAATGCTTTCCTGGCATCCCAAATTCCTGACATGGAGGAAGGGCTGGAGCAAACGCTCCTCCATGTCCTGGTGCTGCCTGGTCCACCAGGACAGGGCAAGTTATTGCTTCACTTTCCACCTTGAGAAATGAAGCCGAAAGGAGCCCGTGTCGAGGGTCCCGGAGCCGCCGAGAGCCCCTGCTTGGCCTGCTCTGCGGCCGCCTCTGCTCCGGGTCTGCGGCACAGAGGAAGTTTCAACCTTCCTGCGAGCGAGAGCATCTGGGGATGGGCGAAATCTGGGTCACCTCCCCG